TGTTTTCATTTTTTTGTACAACTAGTAGTTGGTGTTATTTGACATTTTAGAGTTAAGTGGCATAGTGGTTAAAGGGTTAGTGAAGGTGCTTTGCGCCAAAAAATGTCCCTTTTAAAAACAAAATTAACCTGCAACAGAGACAAAATAAAGTTTTTATTTATTTCACATTAGATTAGAATTCAGATTAGATGACAAAACTAGAAACGTTATTGAATTAAATTACAATGATCTACAAAGTTTTTTCTTTAAGACAAACAAAAATTCGCCGAAAGCCAACAAAAAATAACAAAAATATTGCAATGTGAAAAATCGCTAAATTTTGTCCGGTTATTATGAGAGTAGAGTAAATATTCCGTCGAATAAATACACTTCGTGTTCATTATGTTTTCATGTACATTAACGAAGAACAATCATAAATAATGGGGGGAAGGTCTTACTTGTGTTGAAGAAGAGCATTGTCAGAAAACATGAAATAATGCCGGAGGAAAACGAGCGAGAAACAGCCGAGTTAATCGGCAAACACTGTCCCGCACTCATTATACCAAAGTTGTGCTGCTGGTATTCTGTCAACTTAGTGCATTATTCACTTTTACAGTATCACACTAGGGACACTGTATACACTTAAGGTTACTCTAGGGCCTCCCGAATTTCATATATTATTCACAACACCACTCCCACTTTTTACCTAAAAGTCAAAAAGCTGAATTTATCACACCAAACTTTTTCGGTTTATTATTTATCCGGAAAATGTCTTGCGCTCTCTTCAAAATTAAAATAAATTATTGAAGACTCTGATTCTAAAACAAATAAAATATTATTTTAGACACAACGAAAATTAGTTTTAACGTTTTGTTAATTTGAATAAAAATTATTTGAATTTCATCACCATTCACAAGAAGCGCGAAATAGTGGGCGTGTCGTTCCGAAGTAGGAGTAACGACGTTTTCTGTTGAATTTTGGCTTGCAACTGAAGAGTTGCCGGCTGCAAAGCGAGTTCACCAGGTTTTGGCGCACGCCCTTTGTACTCCCCACATTATAGAGACTAAATGATAAACTGCAGATTTATGATCTATCACCTATTATCATCTACTCATCTGTAAATGTAGTATCTCGTTGCAGTACTGAGTTTTAAATCTGACCAGTTTTTTTTATTAAAAAAGCATTTTTCCAATACCTTTAATTTTCATTCGTGTGTGCCAGAAATCGAGCTCCAGAAAAAATGTTAAAAAAATTCTATTTATAAAAATTGAGAGTTTAAATTTATACAAGGTGGGGCATGTGCTCCCCTGGAAGTTAGCCTAAGACATTTTTTCGGTAGTTTTAA